TTTAAGTTTTACAGAAACAAAACTTAAAACCACATGGCTAATTTGCATAAATTGTAAACGCTGGAAAAAAGCAGCTTTTCCATGTGCGCTGATGCAGCAGCTTCTGTTGGACTAAAGGACATGACTATATGTTCTTTCTGTGACAGAGGGACGTCCCTGCAACTTTTGGACTCGTAGTTTGTAGAATGGAATGAAAGTGATGAGGGCGGCTCCACTTTACGCTCTAGACACACGCATAGAGCAGCGAGTCCTGTGAGCATAGATTTCAGAAAATGGGATCCATCCTATTTTATTATTATTTTGACGCTCTATGTGAGTGTAGACGCATATCCCCGTCAAAATACACAGAGAGCATGAATCTATTGTTGTATTTGTGCGTTTACCATCAGCACCACGTACTCCTGGGACAGTTCTGTGTCATGTGAAAGAGTTTAGGTCCAGAAATACTGCTAATTAGTGCTTTGAAATTTACTTTTGAAATCCTTGCGTTTGCCGTGGTCAGTCTGGTCAGAAGGTAAATACAAGCAGCTAAACGTGCTGAGTCAAGTTTGATCGTTTTTCCCACTGACAAATACAAGAATCAGTACGTTTCACTAGAGCTGCAGGTGGAGTCGCCTTCACGTTGACGCTGTGGTTTCGCGAGTTTAAGTGCGAGCAGACCTCGACACTCGTCAGGTGAAAACAAATTCCGACGTTTAATTGAACCCCAACAGTCACGTACGTGATTCATTTCACATAATTTGAACAAATTCGTGTTCAAGTTCTTGATTTACAAAAGTGTTGCGTTCAGTTCAAAGTTCACTGAAAAATGAACCTGTTCAATGAACCTGTTCTTCTGAACTCGTTCATGCACAAGTATAAGTGTTGAGTAGTGACGGCGAACGGAGCCTCGTGAAGCATTTACACCTCAGTCTCAATATTGTCTCAAATGGTTGGACGTGTCTGTGCCCTCGGAGAAACACTGACCTCTAGTGGACAAATTTAACCATTGTCATGCAGGTGTCTCAACATCGATGAAGTATTGTTTGTGTAAGAAAAAACTTGTGTGCAGAGCGACACCGTACCAACAACAACAACAATAATGATGATTTAAAATAATATGTAAAGAGAAACATAAATATCATGCTGTAAATAAGAAAATAGGTGTGACCTTGTTAGGTGGAATTAGATCAAAGTGATCCCAAACCATGGAACGCTTTTTTCCATTTGTAGACGCCAACGAAAATGAAACAAATGCCAGAAGTCACCAAAATCATCACTAAAAACCCTCACTACCCAACATTTTTAAGAAATATTGGTGCATCTTTTATACTGTAGCAGTTTAGCGCTTGTCAAACCACAGAAGTGCACTGAACACTCTGAACCAATCACAGAGCGGAACATTCGCCAAGCCAATGAGACGCTTCGATACACTGAAGCGATCGACACGCAGAGCGAAGCAGTAGACCAGGGGTGGGCAAACTTTCTGGCTCGCGGGCCACATAGGGTCCTAAAGTTTGACTGAAGGGCCGGACAGAAGACAGGACATAACGTGTTAAGAGCTCAGATTCATCACATTCTTATTCACATTTATCCAGGACTTCAGACGCTACACGTTTCATCACTGCTGTGAAAGATTCAGAACAAATAAAACTGTTGAGACCTGCTCCACTGCACAACATGAGTCAATGTTCATCGTGAGTTCACTGTTTTCGAATATGACTGATAACAGCTCAAAAACAAAGCTCACGCCAAACAACCACAGACACACACCTGTGAGTGAGATAAAACCTGACTCCAAAATGTTGTACACATTAATCATTACAACTCAGAGACCACAGGTTTCCTTGATTGATTTTTACCAACTCAAACTGGAAGCAGTGCATCTTATATCTTAAGCACCAACTACTTCACTCATGGTCCGAATAACTCCTGTAAGAACACTTTCCCATAAAGCATTGCGGCCAACATAATACGCCGCAACTCAATGTATATATAGTGCGCCATCTACTGGGAAACACTGGAAATGCAAGACAAATAAAACATCAACAAGGTTTATTATTGTAATTTATTCCAGTTGGGCGGGCCGGATTAAAAGGTTTAAAGGGCCGCATACGTCCCCCGGGCCATAGTTTGCCCACCCCTGCAGTAGAGGGAGGGACCGACACTTCCACACTTTGGTCACGTGAGCGGCTGCTGCGAGACGAGCTCCGAGGCAGCGCTCCGGAGCGATTTGTTTCAGAAAGAACGAGACGTGCTCCAGAGCTCCGACTCATTCGCCGTCACGAGGGCTGAGGTCTGTATGTTGGCAGCTTCTTAATGACACTCAGCCCTATTAATGCCATACTTTGGAATATTGTAAATAAACCAATAACATCTCCATAAAGATAAGCTGGCGATCAGACACAGTTGCACCTTTAAATCATAAAACTCATGTACGTGAATTAATGCAAAATAGAGTAGTTAATGCCCATCTGCGGAACATTCCAGGCCGAGCGTTCTTATCTCCACGGCGACGAGGAGGGCCGCGCACGAGGCTGTGCATCCGAGCGGCTCCGTGTTATTCTATAGGAGCGTCTGCGTCGACTGTGCGGCTCGTGCGAGGGAGTGAGTCACGCTCCGAGCGCCTCCAAAGAAACAGAATAAAAAACGCGAACAGATTGTCGTGGGCCGGTTACCATGACGACGGCTCGGGGCGAACTCTGACCCCTGTGCAGTCCGCCCGCAGCCACACGCATTCAGCTCGCACAATGAGAGAGGAGGAAAGCAAACTTGGGAATTACAAATAAGATTCACAAGTTAATGCGGCGTTTTTCAGTAATGGACTGAAGGACTGAAGGGTTTGGTTTAGTCACTCGAGTTTTGTCAACTATTTCTACTTTTATTTAGCATTTTATTTAGATTATAAAGATTTATATGGAACAACAGCAGAAAGGAGAAGTTAATGAGTGAGTTTGCTGAGGGTTTTTTTGTATTTATAAGTAAAAATGCAGATTAAAAGGCTCATATTTATGCTATTTTCTGATTTATGTTCTAATGTTTCCTCATCACAAACAAAGACCTGGAGTTGTGTTTTTTTGTTTTTGTTTCATTCACACATGTTTAACACACAAACCTGCAGATTGAGGCTGAGTTCTTCTCTCAAACAAACAAAAAACTCCACCTTGTGATGTCATGTGGTACAGGAAGTGCTCCACTGTGGTTTTTAACCCTTCCACACGGACAAAATCATATATGATAACTGGGAATATGTTTTATATAACATAACGTTCATAACTTTCCGACCATAAAAGATACTTACTTTTTTTTCCTTGTAAGTGTACATTTATATGATGAGGGTCTGAACAGAAGGCGCAGAAGTGGTGTCGCGTCTTCACTTTTTATTCCGCGTTTAGACGAGAGTTTTCGGGAGGAAACCTGCGTGCACACGGTGATGCAAAAGTGTGTGGAATTTCATAGTGTGTGCATGCCAGGGGACGAGGTGGTGACGTAAACGTGTACACGACCTGAGCAGATCTGACCAGAGTTTTGCGTCTTGGACAGTGTAGATGGAAATGCTATGGTGGAGCTTATTCAACTTTTCCACTCTGGAGGTTGGTTTCAGATCATCGTCTACCTCACTTCGCAGCATTAGGATTCGTTTGCTCGACAGTAGGCGGGTACTTTTTTATTTAACCAACCACGTATGTAATTCGCCAAATCCCGTAGGAAGAAGGACAATAACGTCTTTCCCCTTGATAAAATTCACCAAACATTCTCTTTGTTCCGGCTTTAAATCCTCGATCTGAGGAATCGTCGCCAACACAGAATGTCTGTCTTCGTTTACATCCATCTCAATGTTTTGTTTTCTGTTGTGCTGTTCCACAAAAGGGACACAGACAGACGCCACGAGTTTGACGTCATGACTTCACAGCTCTTCACTGATTGGCTGGTGCCCAAACTTGCACTTCGGGGGTTTTTGCAAATCGTCTGGTGTATTCTGATTCCTGACCTAGTCTCTGGAGAAAAATGAAATTGAGCGGAGGCACTAGGTGGAACCAGACTGACTAGGCCGTCACAGCTTTTCGAACACTTTCCCAAGAACTTAGTTTTCCGCCAAGTGCCTCTGGTCCATCCATTTTGTTCAGCCCAAACTTTGCCAAAGAGTGTAGTGAGTCAAAACGGTCGATGCTCTGAGCGTCTGTGTTTGTAACATTTGAAAAAGTCGCTCTAAGTGCAGATATTTCTCAAATAAATGACTAATGGTGCAGCTTGGTCTGTGTAATTGCAAATCTTTTGCTGTTTTTATTTTCAGGTTTATTTCAGTCCAGATGTCCAAATCCAAATGTAATAAACCCCATGGAAATGCAGGAAGTGATGTGTCTCAGTGCCCTGGACCTGACACCAGCTGTTTCCACGACTGACACCAGGAAAGTCATGAGGCCATTGCACTTTTTGTTTTGTTTTGAGTCAATAAGGATATTTTATATTTTATTTACAGACTTGACAGACTTGATATTTTGCACTTTTGTAGTTAAGGTTCTAAATTAGACATGTTTACACCCCAAAAGTTTTTTTTTTTTTTTTTTATACACGTTTGCTGTGTGTTTTGTATGTGTGAATATGTGAGTGTAAATTTTATTTTTTTATTTTTTTTTTTTTTTTGTCTTTCTGATCCTATGGCTTTTATTACAGCCACATGACACAATTACAGCAGCAGATTGTGAAATAACAGGACGTACTGAAAAAAAGGATGTATAACACTAGAGCTGGGTATCATTAAGAAGTTACCGATACGATACATACCTCGATACAGTGAGCTTTCGATTCAATACGATATATTTCAAATCGATTCAATACAGTTCAATAAAAATAAAGGCGAAATCATGTCTGTGATACTAAAAGTCTTTGTTAAACCACTTTTTTGTGCAAAGTTCATATGAAACACAAACATTTTAATTCGTCAAAACAGTGAAAATGTCAAATGTGTCGCACTTTAACAAAAAACTGTAAGAAAATAATTTAGTAAAATATACCAAAAAATACTCTTGGTGATATATCGATACAGCAGCCCATGATATCGATACTGTATCATCACATTAAGCGATACGATATATCGATATTTCAATATTTTTGCACACCCCTATATAACACTTTATTCAGGGGTAAAAGGGGGAGTTTTAAAAGCAAAATTGAGAAAAAATATCCAGATGAGGAGAAATGTAGACAGACTAATAATAAAATTTTACTCAAACATGTGTGAATGAAACAAAACTCAACTCCATGTGTGTTTTTGAAGAGGAAACGACCTGATAACACAGATCATAAACAGTATAATCTGGGCCCTTTAATGGTGTCATGTTTGCATTATAACCCTGAGTCATGTCGAACCAAACGATGTGTCTGGATGTGAAAATACGGCGTTCTCCGGGCGTTCGTCGGTTTCTTGGGGCAGATGTAGCTCCGGGTTCATCCATCATGAGCACACAGGAGGTGCCAGGCGTCGTAAAGCCCCCTTGTGGACAGATTGGAGAAATAAATCAAAATTTGTGATGGAAACTTGTACCTCCCCTTCGCAGAGACTCGACACACGAGAGTCTCACAGCCCACCTGCACCGGTGATGCAACTCAGACAGACTCACAAGGAAGGAGGAAAATACACAAATAAACTCACAAAAATTACAAAGTGTGGATGAAATGAGGGGAAAAATACACAAAATGAGGACAAAATGAGGAAAAACACACACAAAACACCCAAAAAACAGAAAATGAAGACGAAATGAGGAAAAAAACACGCACAAAAACAAAATGGGGACAAAAAAGACAAAATGAGGATGAAATGAGGAAAAACACACAAAAACACACCAAAAAACCCAGAAAATAAAGACAAAATGAGGAAAAAAAAACACAAAAAAACAAAATGAGAGCAAAATGAGGGAAAAAAAAAGACAAAATGAGGATGAAATGAGAAAAACAAACAAACAAACAAAAAAAACACACAGAAACACAAAATGAGGACAAACACACACACAGAAACACGCCAAAAACAGAAAATGAGAAGAAAAAAAAAGAACAGAAATGAGGATGAAATGAGAATTTTAAAAAAAAAACACAAAGAAAAACACAAAATGAGGAACAACCCTCAAAAGAAGAAAAATGAGGAATGAGGAAAAAAAAAAAAAAACACGGAAAAATGTTTTTTAAAAATGCACACAAAACACAAAATTAGGGGAAAAAAACACAAGCAAAAAAACAAAAAATGAGGATGAAATGAAGAAAAAAACAACACACACACGCACACACAATTTTTTTTGAAAATAAAACGAGGAAAAAACACCCCCAAAAAACACACAAACCAAAATGAGGGCAAAATGAGAAAAAAAAGAAAACATACACATAAAACCCCACAAAAAACACAAAATAAGGATGAAGTGAGGAAAAAAACACAAAAATGAAACACACAAAATTGAAGACGAAATGAGGAGACAAAAACCCTGAACCCTGAAAAAACCAAAAAAAACATAAAAAAGCACAAAATGAGGTCAAAATGAGAAAAAACACACACAAAAAACACAAAATGAGGACCAAAAAAAAAAAAAAAAAACCCCACACACAAAAGGAAGACGAAATGAGGGATAAAACAAAACAAACAAAAAAAAACACAGAAAAAACACAGAAAAATAAAAAAATGAGGGGGGGGCGATGCAAAATGAGGTTTGAATCCCACTCTTGATGTACTCATGATCCACTGAGCCACAGGTTGTCGGTGTGATTCCAGCTCCCACAGATAAATGCTGTTGTTGTGTCCTTGGGCAAGACACTTAACCCCCTCCAGTGTCTGTGAACACTGGTGTATGAAAGTGTGAATAAGTGGTTCCTCGTTATAAAGCTCGGTTTAAAAATGTGATTATTTACCGTTTCCCAAAACCACAAACTGAGGATGAAATGAGAATAAAAAATAAAAAAAAACACAAAGAAAAACACAAAATGAGAAACAACCCTCAAAAGAACAAAAATGAGGACGGAATGAGGGAAAAAAAAAAAAAAAAAAAACCCCCACAGAAAACCCACAAAAACCACAAATTGAGAACAAAATGTTTTTAAAAAAAAATGCACACAAAACACAAAATTAGGGAAAAAAACACGCAAAAAACAAAAAATGAGGATGAAATGAAGGAAAAACAAACACACACATACACACACAAAAAAATAAATAAAAATAAATAAATAAAATAAAATGAGGAACCCCCCCCCCAAAAAAAAAACCCCCACACACAAACCAAAATGAGGGCAAAATGAGAAAAAAAAGAAAACATACACATAAAACCCCACAAAAAACACAAAATGAGGACGAAGTGAGGAAAAAACACACACACAAAATGACGACGAAATGAAGACAAAAAGACAAAAACCCTGAACCCTGAAAAACACTGGAAAAAAAAAACCATAAAAAAGACAAAATGAGGTCAAAATGAGAAAAAACACACACAAAAAACACAAAATGAGGACCAAAAAAAAAAAAAAACACACACACAAAAGGAAGACGAAATGAGGGATAAAACATTTACAAAACAAAAAAACAAAAAAAACAGAAAAAACACAGAAAAATAAAAAATGGGGGGGGGACGGACACAAAATGAGGTTTGAATCCCACTCTTGATGTACTCTTGATCCACTGAGCCACAGGTTGTCGGTGTGATTCCAGCTCCCACAGATAAATGCTGTTGTTGTGTCCTTGGGCAAGACACTTCACCCCCTCCAGTGTCTGTGAACACTGGTGTATGAAAGTGTGAATAAGTGGTTCCTCGTTATAAAGCTCGGTTTAAAAATGTGACTGTTTACCGTTTCCCAAAACCACAAACTGAGGACGAAATGAGGAAAAGAAAAAACTCACAGGAGCCAAGTTTACTGGGCCCAAACTCTTCACATTTGCATATAATTCTGGTATAATCACGTCTCTAAGTGAATCTGTGTCTCCAAACGAAAATAAACTCAGCGTTTGCTCATTTCCAGTCGCCGTGTGTTTGCAGAGCGAGTGCAGCTGAAGCGCTTAATCACATTTCAGACGTGGATTTGCGCTCCACAGTTTTCTGCTCAAATTGGTGTCAGATGTTACAGAAAATTGACAAAATCTTGAAAGAATCGCTGATGTTTTGGAAGTTGTTTGTACTTTTCTGTGATTGTAATTCTCCAGCACTTTCATGATCCTGGATGAATTCGATCTGGGAGACGGGGCCGTGTTTTTTGGTTCTGTTCTTGTTGTTCTGGTCTGGGTTCATTCAGGTCGTGGTTTTTGTGTCGTCCGTTTTGCCTTGGATCCGGATCACACACAACAAATATGGCTGCTTTGGACGAAAAAAGAAAGACAAAATATCTTATGGGGAATTTCTCCAGAATCCACGAGCGAGAAACTAAACGTGACGAGCGCTGGTCTACTTCGTTTCACGTGAGTCACTGAAATAAACAAATCTGATGTGATGAAACGAGAAAAAAAACATAAAAAAGATCCACAAAAAACAAAATGAGGACAAAATGAGGAAAAAATGCACAAAAAATGAAAACAAAATGAGGAAAAAACACACACACAAAACACAAAATGAAATCAAAGAGAAGAAAAAACACCCCAAAAAACACCCTAAACAAAATAAGGATGAAATGAGAGGGAAAAAAAACACACACACACAAAAGAGTATGAAATGAGAAAAATAAAAACACAAAATGAAGACAAAATGAGGAAAAAAACACAAAAAATCCTCCCACAAAAACACAAAATGAGGATAAAATTAGGAAAAAACACACAAAATGAGGAAAACATACTTCCAAAAACACAAAATGAGGACGAGATGGAAAAAAAAAAGCACAAAAAACACAAAAAGAAGAGAAAATGAGAAAAACACATATAAAAATAAACAAATCTGACCCTTATGAAAGTTGATATCATGTCAGTCAAACACGGGCAGTTTGATTTCACACAAAAAAAAAAAAAAAACCAACAACATTGTGCTCTGTGGGACAATTCTTTCTGGATCATAGTACCTGCAGTACCTGGAGCGTCCACTAGTCGACCTGGAGCGAGGACAGGGGGAGTGTCTTATCCGGTCCTTATTATAGATCCATGGTTTCCTCTGGAGAGTGGCTGGATGTCTCCCTGGGGACATCCTCCGTGAAGACCCAGGAAGGTGATCAATGACCCAACCCATGTTCTTCACAGTCAGTTTGAGTTGATGCCATCAGGCAGAAGGTTCAGGGTCCAAACTGTAAACTGAACAGATTCAAACGTTCTTTTGTGCCACTAGCTGTTAACCTGCTAAACTCAGATAGTGCAGTTAAAAATAATTATAAAAGGCTTAGGGAATGTGCAATAATTAATAGAACAGAAGAATGCAAGGGCTTGTCTGTTAAGAATAGTTTTTAAAGGTCCCGTTGGTGCATCACTCGTGGTCACACTTGGTCTCATATTTATTCTGTTCTCTGATGTTTGTTTATGTGCTGCTTTGTGTTGTGTTGTTTTTTGATAAAACATGTGACCCCCTGTCCCAAGACAAATTTCTCCCATGGGAGACAATAAAGGATTATCTTATGTTATGTTGGTCTCTGGGCTGGGCTGGGAACACCTCGGGACCCCTGAAGAGTCTTGGGTGAGAGAAATCTGGACCTCACTGCTCAGACTGTTGCCTCCGTGACCTGGATAAAGAGAAAGAAAATGTTTGGGGAGGGAGGGATGATTGTGGGGATACTTATTGTATACACAGAGTCGGCATTCTGGACAAAGTGAGGACCAGGGGATTCCAGGGGATGAACAGCATTACTACACCAGTGGTTTTGCGAGGATTCTCGTGGTGCCCCGGCAAGTGCTTGGTGCTCTACTCGCTGTGTGTAATGTGCTTAATGGGAGCTACAGAACTGTGTGTACATCATTTTATTAAAGGTTGTATAGAGGATTTTCCAAGGAACGAGAAATCCAGCGACTGTTTGTCCTTTTTCAAATGTTGCGCATGTGTGAAACCACCCCCCTCCCCTACAGCTCCTACGTAGAAACACCTCCTCCCTCCTCCTCCTTACGCCAGAAACAGGTTTGTTTACAGCCGCTGCACATGACTTGTAAACAACTAACTACAGTGTTGGTTAGCAAGACGGAGAAGTGAGGAGGGGAGGGTGTGCGGACATTTGTTAGAGCGAGAAGAGTGCGGAGAAGTGAGGAGCAGGGGGAAGAGTGGATCGGGCAGCGGGGACAGGAGCAGGAAAGGGGTGCAGAGAAGGTTGCGCGGAGATTCCGTGTGAATGAACTAGCTACAACACACAGCAGCAAGCGGACTCTTTCTTTGCCTTGAAAATGACGTTTTCAGACATAGGATATCACATTCGTGTCCTGAAAAACGTTTGTCCAGCTCTTGGAAATAAAGTACGTTTTCATAATAAGCAGAAGTTTCCTGTCCAGGAGTAATTTGTGGACCAGTGTGTCAGTCTTTAGACCCTGCGTCTGCTTCAGTCGCGCGCCATCGCTGGAATGAATCTTCAAGAATCACCTTAGTTTGGCTTCGCTGCTTTTTTCCCCTTGTCTTCTTCTTTCAGCGACCTCAAAAACGGACTTTCTTTTGCGGCGAACTGCTCCTGGATTCTTGTCGCCATTGCAACAAACTTTGTGCGAACTGCGAGGAAAATATAGGTCAAAAAAAGCCGCTAAGAACTGTTGCGTTGGTGGAGTAAACAGCGTCTGTGCGTCTTGCGTCTGTGGACTGTGTGACAGTCGTACGTAAACCACGTACCGGCAGCGCAGGCAAGTCAGTTACACTAGAAACGTAGGGAGTTTGATTGACAGCCTGTCAGCTCACAGATAACGAGGCAGTGTCGTTATCTATTGGCAAATGTTTAGCCCCACCACGTCCAGAGTTGATGAATTTTTATTCTCTTTTTTTTGGTCATCATAATTACAAGGCGACTGCACCTTTATAATCTATCATTGACAATTTGAAACAAAAAAAAAATCCTCCATACAACCTTTAAGTAAGTCTTTATTTATATCGCGCTTTTCACAGACATTTTTGTCACAAAGACACTTTACAGAGCTTTATTCAGTATTATTCATTCACTCTACACCCAGTGGTGGTAAACTACTATTGTAGCCACAGCTGCCCTGGGGCAGACTGACAGAAGTGCACCTGCCCTGCCAATCGGCACCATCTGCCCCTCCGACCAACACCATCACACACACACAACACTTTCATACTAGGCAATGAGGGTGAAGTGTCTTGCCTAAGGACACAACAACAGTTATTGCGACTGGCGCCTCCTGTGGCTCCTGATTTTCCCAGTGAACTGACCAGACCCGGTCCTGCTGAGCCTCTGAGATCTGACGGGATCAGGCTTTTACAAGATGGTGTGAGAAACACATTTTATTTATTTAACTACATTGATCTGTTTTGTTTTGTTTTGTTACTGTTGATTTGCGATTATCTTTTCTGTTCTTATTTTTGTCCGATGTATCTGCTCTCACCCGAGTATGAAAAGAACGAATAAAGAAAAACTGTGAAAAATTATCACAAAAAAAAAAAAAAGAAAACAGATATTCAGGAAATTAGTACAGTTTTGATACTAGTTTGAGTCTCGATTAGTGTTTGATACTTTTCTTTCCCGTCTCAGTCGTGTGGAAATGTATAATCTCCCTCTGTTTTAGTGTCAATGACACACACACACACACACACACACACACACACACACACACACACACACACACACACACACCGGAGCGTGTCTGTGCTCTCTTCATGTAAACGGCGGCGCTCCCTCCTCTTCCTCCTCTTCCTCCTCTTCCTCCTCTCTCCTCCTCTCTCCTCCTCTCCTCCTCTCCCTCCTCTCCCTCCTCTTCCTCCTCTCCCTCCTCTTCTCCTCCTCTCCTCCTCTTCCTCCTCTCCCTCCTCTCCCTCCTCTCTCCTCCTCTCCCTCCTCTCCCTCTTCCTCCTCTCCCTCCTCTCCCTCCCTCTCCCTCCTCTCTCCCTCCTCCTCCCTCCTCTCTCCTCTCCTCCTCTCTCCTCCTCTCTCCTCTCTCCTCCTCTTCCCTCCTCTTCCTCTCTCTTCCTCCTCTCCCTCCTCTTCCTCCCTCCCTCTCTCCCTCCTCTCCTCCTCTCCTCCTCTCCTCTCCTCTCTCTCCTCCTCTCCTTCTCCTCTCCCTCCTCCTCTCCTCCCTCCTCTTCTCCTCTCCTCCTCTCCCTCCTCTCCCTCCTCTTCCTCCTCTCCCTCCTCTTCCTCCTCTTCCTCCTCTCTTCCTCCTCTCCCTCCTCTTCCTCCTCTTCCTCCTCTCCCTCCTCTTCCTCCTCTCCCTCCTCTCCTCCTCCTCCCTCCCTCCTCCTCTCCTCCTCTCTCCTCCTCTCCTCCTCCTCCCTCTCTCCTCCTCCTCCTCTTCCTCCTCTTCTCCTCCTCCCTCCTCCCTCCCTCTCCTCCTCTCCTCCTCTCTCCTCTTCCTCCTCCTCTTCCTCCTCTCCCTCCTCTTCCTCCTCTCCTCTCCCTCTCTCTCTCCTCCTCTCTCCTCCTCTCCCTCCTCTCTCCCTCCTCTCTCCTCCTCTCCCTCCTCTCCCTCCCTCTCCTCCTCTCCTCTCCTCCTCTCTCCTCTCTCCTCTCTCCCTCCTCTCCTCCTCTTCCTCTCTCCTCCTTCTCTCTCTCCTCTCTCTCTCCTCTCTCCTCCTCTCTCTCTCCTCTCTCCTCTCTCCTCCTCCTCTCTCTCCTCTCTCCTCTTCCTCCTCTCTCTCCTCTCCTCCTCTCCCTCCTCTCCTCCTCTTCCTCCTCTCCCTCCTCTCCTCCTCTCCTCCCTCTCCCTCCTCCTCTCTCTCTCCTCTCTCCTCTCCTCCTCTCCCTCCTCTCCTCCTCTCCCTCCCTCCTCTCTCCTCCTCTCCTCCCTCCTCTCCTCCTCTCCTCCTCTCCCTCCTCTCTCTCCTCTCCCTCCCTCCTCCTCTCTCTCCTCCTCTCCTCTCCTCTCTCTCTCCTCTCTCTCTCTCTCTCTCCTCTCCTCCTCTCCTCCTCTCTCCTCCTCTCTCTCCTCTCCTCCTCTCCCTCCTCCTCCTCCTCTCCTCTCTCCTCTCTCCTCCTCTCCTCTTCCTCCTCTCTCCCTCCTCTCTCCTCCTCTCTCCCTCCTCTTCTCTCCTCTCTCCCTCCTCTCTCCTCCTCTCCCTCCCTCCTCTCCCTCCTCTCCTCCTCTCTCCTCTCCCTCCTCCTCCCTCCTCTCTCCTCTCTCCTCCTCCTCTCCTCCTCTCCCTCCCTCCTCTCTCCCTCTCTCCCTCCTCTCCCTCCTCTTCCTCCTCTCCCTCCTCCTCTTCCTCCTCTCCCTCCTCTCCCTCCTCTTCCTCCAGCGCCCCGGGGCATTGTGGGAGCTGGAGTCTCGGCCTCTTCGTGGTCCAGACTCTGAGTGCGTTCGAGACGAGGTAATGGGCTGTGATTGGCTCGTCCGGCCTCATTAGGATCAAATGAGACGCGACCGAAGCAGAAATGGATTCGATGATTGTTCTGATCACAGCGGAAGACTCAAACACGGACACGCACACACGGATACGCACACATGGACACACACACGGACGCACACACACGGACGCACACACGGCAAATAAATAAACTCTGTCCATTCAGAATGATATGTATTACACCTGTTACTATAGCAAGTAACAATTAAAATGTATCAATTTATTTTATTTTTTTTTTGAGCTTTCTACCATGTTCTGACATTGTTCCCTCATCAAAACATGAGTGAAAAGGTTTTAAAGTTCCGTTCAGACCGGAGCGTCAGAGCGTCCAGTTTACATGTAAAGTCGTGGACGTGCGTCTAGGGCGTCCTGAATTTTTGTGGCCCATCTTCAGGTGTCAGCGTGACGAGAATTTGGCTTTGATGCTGTATGTTTTGAGTGTTCAGCGTGTCGACGCTTTGGTGGAGCATCGGAAGGGCGACTCAACGAGCATGCGCTGAACGAACGGAATTATTTTCAAGAAGAATAACCATCTACATCAGGAGTGACTCATTTTGGTCCGGGGGCCGTATCCAACCGACTTTGATCCCAAAGGGGCCGGATCAGAAAACTCATGTCATATAAACCCCAAAAATAACAATAAGTTCAAATATTTGTGCAGAGAAACACAAATCTATTACAGAAATCTTTTTGAATTGATGAACTCTTTCTTTTACAAAATATTATAATATTATGAACAACCTGAAACTTTAAGAAAAATTGTAATTTCAACACAATGTTTTAACATGAACTTGTTTGTAAACAGGAATAAGTCAATTTTTGTTGTAAAATCCTGCACTCGGCTCCACTTTTCTCATGTTGGACATTTTTCTGATGAGGGTGTCACGGTCAACAGTCAAAACGATCGTCCTTTAAGAGCGTTTGGAAAGAGACAAGTCTTCATTTGTGCTGCTCTGGTGGGAGGGGCCACGTACAGAGACGCTGGAGACGCTGCTGTGATAAACACCACAGAAAATTAACAAGAATATTTTAATAGAAAATATCATTAAAATATTTTAGTAGAAAATCAGCCGAGGGCCAGATTAAAGGTCTTGGAGGGCCGGATCTGGCCCCCGGGCCGTATGTTTGACCCCCCTGGTTTAAATGATCGAGGAATAAATTCAACCACCCACTTACTTCTGAATTAGGTTTAATTCCGAATAATTATTTTCATTGGGAATTAAGTGTTTACAATTA